CAAACCATACATTGTACTAGAGAGAAACAATCAAGAAACAACGACAAACGACAAAACAATCAATCAAAGAGAAACGACAACGTCAATCAATAACGGCGAGCCATCAATAGATGATCTAGATCAAGGAGAGGTGGGACAAAATCAACAATCAACCTGTCATCAACTAATTCAACGTCGAGTGTCAAATCGTCACCGCAGGGTGCCGACACGATACATGGCGAATTAAACCGCAGCTGATATCATCGATTCGACACGTAAGCAGATGAAAAAAAAAAAATATACATATACATCTACGCTATCAATCATGAACACCAATCGCTTCTAGCGAAAGAAACGAAATTATCATTAAACGATCAATGAATCGAATCGATGCACTTAGAAGAAAAAAAAAAAAAGAAAAAGAAAAAGAAGAAGAAGAAGAAAGAAAGAAAGAGGAAGGTGGATTATTTCTCCGTTAACAAGCACCAGCTGCATTTCATAACTTGGTTAAAAGAAGATGCAACACAACACGACGACGCAAATTCTAATGGCAATATGTATTATACAAGTCGGTATAGCAACAACAATTCTTCTGCCCAAACGTGATACATTACACAAATCATCGGGCCTTATAATGAAATATTTATCGGAATATAAACCAGCAAACGACGTAACATCCATTTCAATAGCAATTCCCATGGTGAGCGACATGTGCTATATAATACCATTGAAAGCCATGAAAAAAATTCCTCAATGCAACATTAAAACAAGTCAAGAAAAAAATGAACGTGGGACAAAAACAAACGTTATACAACAGCAGGAAAGAAAAAATCATACAATACAGCCACGAAATAAACGATTCATCATGGACATTATTTCAATTGCCATTGGAACAGTTTCAACGGCATTATCAGCCGGCAACATAATACAAATGAATAACCTACAGAAGGAAGTAAAAGCAGACAGATCATCGATCCGTACACTACAAAACTCAATGAACGGCCACAACATTCAACTCTTTCAACTGACCAAAGGTCAAGTTAAAATTATAGAAGAACTACATCACACACAGGCCGCTTTGAACAACACCATTGTTTTGGTAAATGAACATTCAAATGTACTGCAACAACATAACATAGCGATTCAAACAATAATGTCAATGATGAGGCTCCTCAGAAAGGAGTTAACAGCTGTGACTCACGCAGTGGAAACTCACTTCATCCACGAGGCCATCGAAGACATCTTCGCCAATAAACTTAATCTAAGATTTATACATCACTACGACTTACCACGAGTTATACAAATCATTACAGAACAAATCCATATAAACATGGCAGAAACGGACGAGACACTTCCAATATTCGAATTGATTAATCGATTATTAATACAACAACGAATTGAATTCATTCCAAGCAACATCAATGAATCAACAGAACGAAGTGTGATCGGTCACTTGTTATTTACATCATTTTTTGCATCATCAAACAAGGACCAACAATCATTCTCAACATACGAACTCATCCCAATACCGTTTAACCAAGGAAACCAGAGATTAAAACTCGCACAAATGCCACATATTGTTAGCATCTCAGCCAAAACATTAGAACTAATTCGATGGACAAAAGAAGAAAGCAGTGCATGTCAATTTAAATTGCTATCGTCGTGCCGTGAAACTCCAGCAATCCATAAGAATTGGCAGAAGACATGCTTATTCGAGATAGTTACGGATTCAAACTTGACGTTATGTCGCATCGAACCCGAACTGGAACCAATATTTATACGACGAATTGGCCAACAATGGGCAATATCGACAATAAATGAAACAAAGTGTCACCGTGTCCCACAATTAGAACACGAACAACATGCCATAACAACGAACAATGAAATAACCATTCCTCCAATCTCATTGATCACCATCGATAAATCAACAACATGGAGCTGTGATCATTTTCTTTTACCAAGTATAACAAATGGCACGGATAAACGGATTACAATCATTGATGACAGGAAATTGAATTACGATGATTCGAACTTAATCAATCTACACCAAACAATGAACAATAACACACGATGGGAAAAAATCCCGTACATTCCGGGAGATATAAAGAATATGATCGAATATATAATAACAACAACAACAACAGCACCAACACCGATACAATCAACAACATCATTCTATCAACATGGATTATCAATAGCAATAGGTATATTAGGTGTAACAACTATCACCTCAATAGTTCTATACCTGAAGCTACGAGACAAAGTGAGCAAGACATCAACAACCAAAATAATTACGATGCCACCAATATGAACAACTTTTAAATTAGTTTCAACAACAGCAACTCCTGACAAGAAAACGTCGATCATCGAGACTTGTAAATATATAACCGAGCTAGGCTCGAAGATAGTCATGTATATAAAGTGTGAATAAATTGCATGTAAAAAAAAAAAAAAAAAAAAAAAAA